AATGAAATCGCTGGTTTCCCGCGGATATGCCAAGAAGCGATTTGCATGGAGGACATACTATTGGTTCCTGACTAACGAGGGCATAGATTACCTCAGAGAAGTAAGTTTGTGAGAAGTATTAACTACGTTTAAGGTGTTGCATCTGCCCGCCGAGGTTGTGCCCGCTACCCTCAACAAGCCTCAGGCTGAGAGCCGCCTTCTTAGTGCTGGTGGCCCAATGGGAGGTCCTCGTTCACAGGGTGATGGGAGAATGGCTTATCGGCGTGGTCCCGCATTCCCTGGCGCAGGCCAAGCTGAAGCCGGCAAGGATGCTGGCGTTGTTGGTGATGGCCAGGTTCACTTCCACAGTGGCGCTGGTCGTGGAAAGCCCCTGTAGCTGAATAATCTTGGGAAATAAATTTTCACGGTGAAGATTTACATGCGTACTTTGTTGCTGTTTCCTACCATGGTTTTACCTGCAGTCCGAACTAAATATTAATTCTTGCAGGCGCCACTAACCGCTGGTTAATTTGGGCCAGTTACTTGACGGGCAAACTGGTTAGTCGACCTTAATTCCCGTTCCTGCGCAGCATGCAAGTGTTTGTTTTTTCCTCAAGCTTCCGTCGTGTGGCCTGTTCCTTTTTGTTCGTCAGAAGATAGCTTAGACGATAGCCGCTTCACCGCCTGTTGGCCTCCTTGTCTAAATGCACAATCCCGGCCTTGCCAGATTCCTTCCTCAAGCCTGTGGCGGCTGCGTAGCGTGACTTTGTTCAACATCGATGCATTTTAGGAAGAAACCATCTATTTATCTTGTCTTTCAACTTATATGAATATAGCCGTCCCCGCATTTCAGATAATGTAGCGGTGCATTTGGCTACTTGAGTATAGTACGCGAAGGTCATATTGTCCGGTAGAGTCCTGTTAGGCGCACATCTTGCCTCTCGACGCAAGCCATAAGTTGATGATGGTGGTAGTGATGGAGAGATTTCATATACTTTTATTACTGTTGTAAATATGTATTCACTAGTTGCATTTACAGCAATGGAATCCTCGTTGAGTGATCTCTAAGTTGGATGCTATTTCGTATACAATTTCATCTTGTTTACTCCTCGCGAATGAACTGCTTGGCTTATGCGCTTTCTAGCATGTTGTTTTATGGTAACTTGTTTGGCGAGCTTGCCCATCTCTCGGCCGGCCCCTAGTAGAATAACCGACCGCACCAACTTTGGGCAAAATCAGGCGCGGATATCAAGGTACCCGTTCATGAACCCTGGTTTTCGTTTGTTTACGATATAACTACCGAATGTGACTCTGACTGTCGCACAGTATCCTTCGACGGCGAGCAGGGTCAGTTAGGGTATGGTTTTTTGTTTCAACCATTTCGCGGCGACATGGTCTATGGCGTCGTAAGTTAGCAATCACAGTGATTGGTGATAAGACTTCTGTTCATATGTGAAAGTCAGGTACTACATTTGAGGACGTTCTAATAAAGCTGAGTGTCGTTTGCTGCATGGTTACTTCTACTTCCAGTCGGTATTTACTCTTCATCCAGCAGCACTTATGTATTATATTTCAGAATCACTGCTGTGCCACTAAACCCTAGCTGCTTTCTCCTTCACACATAGGAATAAGATTCGATGCGGTTGCAAAGTAGTATTTCAGACCTCATCGAGAACATTATTTGCCGCCGAGATGTCGGCTTTTGTTAATCAATTCAAGACTGAGTCACGGTTAATGAACACTTAGGCTATTGCCGGCAAAGATGAGGGGACAGGAATGACCATCTATTGCTTTTTAGCAGTTGTCAGCCTGTCATACCCAACCGCAGGTGGTGCACCATCCGGGGATCGAACTCTCGACCTTTTGATCAGAAGTCTAACATTAACCGTTTAACCGCTGAAAGAAAGGGCAACTAGGTTATGATATTCACCCTAACTATAAGCATGCCGGACTCCTAATAGCCGGATGAGCAAAAGCTGGAGTTCGAACTCCAGGTGGCTGCTCTTCGCTCTTTCATCTGCCTGGGCAAATGCGACGGCAGCTCCCTTATCTTCTTGGCGATTAAATAAGTCACATAGATCTGGTTTTAGTCGTAGGTCTATGCTGGTTATTGGTGCCCACTATTACTGGCTCTTGCTCTTCGTACAATTAGTGCTCTTAGTTGACCGGCCTTGTCCACAATGCTCGCGTTACCACTCGTCACCGTTAATGATCTTGCGTTCCTCTATCTAATCACTTCTGTTGTCATTGCCATCGTCGTCCCTTCTGTCACTTGCTACCAGG